ATGCCATGTGAAACAACTAGCTAGTGTATCTTCACTTTCTGCACTCATTAAGCGTATTGCAAGAATTTCTTGGAACGTCAAAGTCCGCGGTTAACGCTTATGCCTAGCATTCTGTTCGGTGGAGCTCTTGAATCCCAAATTTATGAGTTTTTTTTTGCAAAGTCACGAGCGTCTTTTTTCTGTGCATTTTCCTATATTCTCTAGTGCATTTTTCTAAATTATATAATAATTTTAAACTGAAGAATAATATGAATTAAATCCTTACACTAGTTGTTTGAGTGCTCTTGGTGGTCTTGATAATTTACTACTGGTCATTTGTGAAGGTGTTGGTACCGAAAAAAAGCGGCTAAAAAATAATTATTATATTTTAATTTCGAAGAATTTTCCGAAAATTCTTACTGTAATTTTCAGGATCCTCATTTTTATTCTTCGAGCTCTTCTCGTTCCTCGAAAGACTCACGGACCTATGTGCAATTGAATCGTGCTCAGAGGTGATAGTTTTTTTTTTTTTGTAATTTTTACGAATTTTCAGATTGTTTTGTGGTTGATTTTAGGATTGTTGGCCATTGCGAGGCGTTCTGCATTTCTCTAGAGGCTATAACAGCGACAGAGATTTTAAATTACAGACTTTTTATAATAGTAAAATGTATAAAATAACCCAAACAACATGTTGGTAAAAAATACTTTCGCAAAATCCTTTTTTTTTTTCCCGACTACTGTGAGAAATCGATTCGCATGCAGAAAGTAAACATCACAAATCTTCATAAAACCTGGCTGGAGCGCGTTTTTTCAGACATTCCCTCCTTTTAACATTATTGATTCTGTTGCAAAAATGTACAGAAGAATGTTAAGTATTCCATAAATGAACTTTTTCGTTTGTTTCTAGCTGAAAAAAAAAACGTTGTGTTACGACTAAATTTGCCCAAAATCTGGCTAAATTTTGCTCGAGTTTTACATGTTTGGGCGTTATTGAGAAGTAAAAATACCTCCTCTCACCTCTTCTTTTTTTCGCTTTTTTCGAGAGGCAGAAATACTCCGAAGTGGCCGAAGTAGTAAAAATCCTGCTAAGAGAATTAGCCTTTGATGTTGGATGTTTCCCCAGCATCTTACAAAGTTTTTTGGTTCTTGGCAGTACTCAAACTCAGTTTCATTTTGAGAAATCACTGGGACTTTGTGCAATTACAGGCACTTTCTGATTGTGCTCCGATGAAAATGACATTTTGAACTCAGAAAGAGGAAAACATGAGAATTTTCTCGGCTCCAGAATTTTCTTCCATATTCCTACTACTGATTTCAGCATTCGTGATACGATATCAAACGGTACAGCGAAGTTTTTCGGAGTACCTCCGCCAGAGGACCGGCAGTCTCCATCGGTTGGTTCTGCTGCCGATCCTAAATGGAGCTCCCGTCGATTGCGCTATATCTGTAAACGTTACGGAAATCCTAAGGAAGAGGCTGCCAGAGAACTGAGGCCTCCGGGTATGTATTTTGTCTTGACAGTTTTGATCGGTTGTTGTTTCATCCGTAGTGTTCCTTCTCGCCATCGATACAGCACTGGCAGCTTCTCCGTTCTTCTCAGTTTTGAGCCAGCCACATCTTTATGTAATTACAAATAGGAATATGTAATTAGAAATAAATTGATTTATTTAAAAAGGGCATATAATTAGAAGTAAAAATGAATTTTTAGCACTGGACGATCTAATTGATATTCCATCGCCATCGAAAAGCATAACACCGCAGGATGAAGTGAATGCCACTGAATTTACAGTAAATTTTTCGAAAACTTATTTCGCCAAATTTTCGCTAAATTATTACCAAAATGCTGTAGTTGATGTTATCCAAAATGCACATTTCCCTGGAAGTTTTTTACGAAAGCATAAAGTTGTTTTTCTTAATCCTGAAACCCCAAGCATTTAAATTTTTTTTTTTAAACTGTATATCCTGGGCATTTTTTATGATCAGACCCTAATCCGGTGAAATCTCATCAGGTACCACGAAGCAAATCTATTGAAAGTCGTAACAGCCGAATACATCCACACCTGGAGCGCCGTGATAGTGTTATGAAAATGGCTTATGAAAGGTTTTCGACAATTATCCAATGGTAAGTTTTGTTCAGCGTTAGCACAAGTTATTCTATCGTGCTCATTTCAGAGTAAAAGTCGAAAACTTTCACCGTGTTTTGGTGATTTATAATAGCATTTTGCAAACAGCAGCACCTTTGATCCAGATTCTTGCCTGTGGGTCTTTACTTTTATGGGTGTTACGGAAATAATGATGGAAAAAGGGGGCGGGGGGGAAATAATTTATGTTAACGGACGAATGACTAGCATAATATTACTATGGTACACTATGAACTGGGGTCTGTTGACCGGTGGCTGGAGCGAGCTGGGCAATGACCGCTGAATTTTCGGGAAATGTTGTTTAGCTGATATAAAATTATGAGCCTTTGTATCTCTGCCTTTGTGCTAAAAGTCCGTAATTCCACTCCGCCAGGATTCATTAATTTTTTAACAGTTGTTAAATCGGTGCAAAATGCATGCCAAAAAGTCAAATCCCAAATCCAGCTTGCTTCTCGATAACTGCTGAAGGGGGAAGACATCAACAGTACTAGCAGCAGAGTGGTTGCTTTTGATACGCACAACGATAGGAGCTACTTGAGTGAATGCGAAAACCTCTCACAGAGCGGATACACGGGGGATTTTGACTTTCTTTGATATGTGCAATAGTTGGGAACATAGGCAAGACACTA